TCTCCCTTCACCCACTTTTCGGTTGTCTGTCCCCCAGGGAGGAGGATCCTGGTTTTCAAACACCAAAAAGCAAAAAAACATATACTGCAACTTCAAGAGGGTAACCAATTGACATAACACTTCTGAGATACTCCCTGATATGTACAATCAAAAACCAAACAATATTACCCCAAAATGCATACAAATGTGGACACCAGATCTAGCGTGCATCATAGGGGGAATCTTCTGGCTCATCTCCAGGAAGGAAACATAGAGGAGACCGGTGCTATAGTGAAATGTGGTGAAGAAATTAGTTGGTGCCCGGTTGTTAGATAAAACAGGGTCTAGGGGGTCTTAAAGCCTTGTCTCCGAACAAACAGCCATCTAAGTGGGAGGTCAACTAAGTCCACATGGGAGAAGCACACCATCATCAGTCACTGAAGAATCATCTGTGAAGCACATGATCCAAAATTAAAGGGACAGATTAGTATCAGAGCCTAAAGTGTGAGAATCTGGTTTGCAGAAGGCTATGGATGAGAGTGGGAGCCCCAGATTCATTGGTGGAACTACATTGGAAATAAGCCTCCGGTGAACTCCCTCTGCCCACAATTGAGGAGGAAAGTGGTTACTAAATGGAGTGCACTGGAGAATTGACTACAGGTCAAAGGCATAAGCCTCACTTGAACATTATTTTTCTAATGTTGAGCCATTCTTTTTGTTTTTGTCATTTTGTAAATAAGTGGGGGGTTGTATATCATATAATCATTTTTGCATTCACCATTTTAAATAAATTACAAGACCTCCCAATGGGTTTCTTTTTTCCCCCTGACCCACCTTTCCTCCTCTATCTCCCTCTTGTTGTATATTATCTTCCTCTTCACCAAAGTTAACACCTATCTACCCTCTGACCTACTGCTTCCTTTTCTCTCCCTTCCGTCCCCACGCATGGTGACCATTAAACTCGTATTTCTTTTTTAAGAAAAGCTTTTCTTGTTTGTTTGTTTGTTTTATAAAAGTGTTTTCATATAACATTTGTCCTTTTGTTTTAACCAACATCACTCAGTATAATGTCCTCTAAGTCCATCCATGTCATGAGTAGTTTCACAGTTTCATCATTATTCTTTAATGATGCATAGTATTCCATTGCGTGTATGCACCAACGTTTATTCATCCTTTCTTCCACTGATGGACATTTCAGTTGTTTCTGTCTTCTTGCTATTATAAATAATATCCTGGTGAACACAGGTGTGCATAAACATATGTTCATGCTATGTTCATTATTTCTGTAGGGTACCTACCAAGTAGTGTCATCACTGGGTCACATGGTACTTCTTGTTTGAGGAAGTACCATATAGCTTTTCACCGTGGTTGCTTTAGTTTACAGTCTTACCAGCAACTGGATCAGGATTCTGGTTGCTTGCACTCTCATCAGCATTTGTTGTTTTCTGCTTTTTTGAGCTTTTCTATCAATTCTCATGCGAGGTCGTATCTCATTGTTGTTTTGGCTTTGCTTCTCTTGAGATGGCTAGTCATCAAGAGCATTTCTTCACATGTTTGTTGACTGCCCAAATGTCCTCATTGGTAAACTGTCTGTGATAAACCAGTATTGCATACCTTGTATGAATCCCAGTTGGTTTCAGAATGATGCATTATTTTTGTGTGATCTATTACTCGATGTATTGGGTAGACGTTCACTGAGAATTTTTACATCTGTGTTCATGAGAGAAATCAGTTTTTAAGTTTCTATCCTGGTGCTGCCTTTGCCAGGTCTTGGTATCAGGGTTATGTCCACTTCATTAAGTGAATTGGGGAGCGCTCCCTGACTTTCTCTGTTCTGCAACAGTCTGAGTAAAACTGGTGTCAGTTCTTCTCTGAATGTTTGGCAGAATTCTCCAGTGAAGCTGCCTGGTCCAGGGCTTTTTTTTCTTGTTGTTCGGAGATTTTAAAGGACTTAAGCAGGCTCGTCTTTTGTTTGGGGTTTGTTTAAAATTGCTACCGCACTCTGTTAGTTTAGGTAGCTGGTGACACAGGATCTCTTCGATCAAGTCTTTCCTGTTGGAAATGAGTTGTTTCTGAAGCACAAGAAAAGGGTGCCCTCCCTCCAATTCCAAACAAGAAGAGAAAGCCAACTGAGGGGGATGAACTGGGAGGAAAATTGTGCCCAAGCCCACCCCGATTTTACCTCTTCCTCCTTCCCTTCCTCCTCTTTAGAGCGAACACTGGGACCTCCATAAAACAAACAAAGAAACAACAACAACAAAACCACGGTCTAGGATGAAAGCAACATACAGGTCAGAAATGGAAGGAGGGTTGTCCTACAAGACCCAATAATCTCTACCGTTGGTGCTGGGAAGGGCATGCCAGGATGTGGTGAATGCAGAGGTTCACTCTAGAGGATTTGCTGTCAGAAAACGGGGATAATTTTATGAATGAGTATCTCATTAAGTCTTATTTCTCACAAGGGGAGACTAGAACAAGGATACATTTGCAATTGGTTACGAAGTAACAGTCGATCGTTTGGTCTAGTGAAGGGGTGCTGGTATTTTGAGGGTGGCACATTGATTTTGTTTCGGTCTGTGATTTTGTTTGGCCAAAATTATGATGTGGCCTTTTTTTGTCTCATTTCATCATGATCTCAGAGTAACCTGGTCTGATGGTGGCATTCTGTGTGATTATTCATGTCTAATTAGGATAAGATGAGCTAACTGTGGATGCTAGGCTGTTCTTGTTCTTTTTCCCCCCGATTCATTGCACTCTTTCCCATAAAATAAGTGCCATGAATTAACTGAAGCTCTGAGAGGTTAGGTAGCTCACCAAATTCAGGCAGCTGCTAAATGGACTTCCTGAGTCCAGGCAGCTTGAAGTCTTACGTTCTCACCACCTCTGAGAAGGGAAACAACCTAGAAAGCAATACACCCCTCAGGGCTGGGCTCAGTGACCAGATGAACCTTCCCCTTGGTGCTTATCAAGAGCCTGGTGTCTCTGGGGTTAATCAATCAATGCTGATTGAAAGATCCATGGTTTGAACACACCAGCTTCTCCATGGAAGAAAGATGTGGGCATCTGCTCCCCTACAGATGTACAGCCTTTTAAACCCTCTGGGACAATCTCACCCTGCCCTAAAGGAGCCCTGGTATAGTGGTTACACACTGGGTTGTAATCCTCAGGGTCAGCAGTTTGAAACCACCAGAAGCTCCATGGGAGAAAGGTGAGGCTTTCTATTCTTGTAAAGAGGTACATTCTTGGAAGCCCACAGAGGAAGTTCTACCCTGTCCTATAGGGTCCCAACGAGTTGGAATTGGGAAGTGTGTTTTTTGACAATGTCACTATGCATCCTAATGGACTGAAAGACTATGGATTAATGGATGGGTTTTATCAAAGGTGAAGGGCAGGTGCTGATGATGTCCTCTTAACTGAAGAGGACCCAGCAAAGGGGAAGCTAGTAGCTATTAAGTATCCAGTCAGGTCAGTGAGACCTAGCAATGCTTAGAACCTAGATGTCTCTAGCACTGGAATGGAACATTGTGGAGAGAGGCAAATTTTCAGATCAGAATAGCCTCTGTCACCAGAGAATTAGCTAGCTTCGTGCTTGTTGCGATCACTTCAGGGCAGCCTCTGGGATTCTGGCGCACTGTCACGAAGGCTTGCTTTCCCTCGGAGAATATGCTGAGCACAAACGAATCGTCTGTAGAGACATGAATTTCAAGTCAAGAGTTCTGCCTGCTGCCCTGATGAGTTTAGAGAACACACGGTGGACTGCGAACAGCAAAGTCAGCAGTTTGAACCCACCAGCCACTCCGAGGGTGAGTGACGAGGCTTTGGGCTCCAGGATAGATTGACAGTCTTGCAAACTCACCAGGGAGTCCCACCCTGCCCGGCAGGGTCGCTGGGAGTCGGAATTGATGAGATGGCAGCGAGTTTGGTTTGCTTTGGAAGCATCCCAACAAAAGCCACTCTAAGGGCTCATCAGACCTGCGCACTCAGAACAGCACTGGAAAGTACTGGAGAATGAGCGCACAGTTGACAGTTTCCACTGAGCGCAGGAAGGAAAAAGAAGCCACAAAATCCCCTTACTCACCAGGCAGCCCACTCTTGTGCTGTTTCTGCTGAAGCAGCAGCTCTCCTGCTATATAGCACCCGCTGCTGCTCCTGCAGGCCATGCACGCTGCAGGCGCATCATCACTGTCAACCAGCCATGGGAAAGGTGAGCAGAATGCACATTCAAAAGAAAGCCCCCTAAATAGCCTCTATTCAAGACCTAAGGAGCCCTGGTGACGCAGCGATAGCTACTGGAAAGGTTAGCAGGTGCAACCCACCAGCGGCAGCAGGAGAGAGAGATGGGGCAGCCAGCTTCCTAAGACCTGACTGTCTGGGGAGCTTCCTGCCCCAGAGACTCACTCTGAGCCAGAAGCCACTCAGGGCAATGGCTGTTTTCCTTGCAGTTTTGTATTAATGCAAGGTCTTAAGGAGCTCTGGAAACACAGTGGTTCAAAGTTGGGCGCCTTGCCCAAGGGTGGGCAGTTGGAAGGCACTAGGCGACTCCTGGGGAGACAGGCCTGGCGATCTGCTTCCTCCGAGATAACCCTGGGGGCAGTTCCTCTCTATCCCCAGGCTGTCTGCCAGTCAGGATCAACTTGATGGGACGCACATCAACAACGTTGGCAATTCTTGACGGCTGGTGTTCGTTCCATGTGTGTCTGAAGGGCTTTCAAAAGCAATGATCATTTGGAATTATTTTTCTGCTGCAGATCACCTTCTACGAGGACCGGGGCTTCCAGGGCCGCTGCTACGAGTGCAGCAGCGACTGTCCCAACCTGCAGACCTACTTCAGCCGCTGCAACTCCATCCGCGTGGACAGCGGCTGCTGGATGCTCTATGAGCGCCCCAACTACCAGGGGCGGCAGTACTTCCTGCGCAGGGGCGAGTACCCCGACTACCAGCAGTGGATGGGCCTCAGTGACTCAGTCAGCTCCTGCCGCCTCATCCCCCAGGTGGGTTCTGTTTGATCTCATCCCTGGGACCAGAGTCTCCTCAAGCTACTAATGGTGGGGGTGGAGGGTGGAGAGGGCTTTGCATACCTGCTAAAGCACAGATAGACACATGTGCAAAAACAAGAGAGGATCTAATGGAAGAGTTCACTTAGAGGAAGACTCAATTATATTTTTAAATTTTTGCTGCCATTAGGCTGATCGGAGGTTATCTAAAAACAAATGCACTATCACACTGGTATTTAAAATAAAATTTGCAAACAGGAAGTTAGTTGGAATGGTGGGGTGGTGATCGAGGCATATTTCTAAACAAAAACATTAATTTTTCCTGTAGTCAAACACCCTATAAGGAATTCATTAGAAAGGTTGCCCTGTGGAGTGCTGAATATTGAAAACTGCTGGGGTGCAGGGCTACTCAGAGGTGGCGGTCAGCTCCAAACGACTGGTATTTAAAGCCTGTCTGTCATCTCGACCTCAGCCAAAAGGCTGAGAAGCGATGATGTGGGTCATCTTTGAAATCCTGTTTTAGCAGTGAATTCATATGTAGCTATAAATGTCGGGCATTTGTTTGTATGCCGATAACACTTTAAAAAAGACTCATCAAAGAAACAATTCACATCTTCCACAAATAGGTGCTTGAGTTAAACACACGGAATTAGGAATGGAGACATTTGCCTTCCTGATGGATTTTAACGTAGAGTCTGAACCTCTTAAAAATTCCATCTCCTTTGAAACAGATTGTGGTGCCATTGTACAACACTGCTTGGTGTGATAGAACTATGGAATGATATAATATCTGTATTAACTCCCCCAAATAGTTTTGAAAAATGAATAAATCAGTAAAACCTAGTCTTATATTGGGGGAATATCCATTTCCTAGGGAAGAAATAGGGAGCTCTGGGAGCACAGGGGGTTATGCATCGAGCCGTCAAGCATAGGGTGGGCTGTTCAAACCCTCCAGTCACTCCACAGGAGACAGATGAGGCTGTCTGCTCCAGTAACAATGTAACGTCTCAGAAACCCTAGGGGCCAGTTCTGCTCTGTACTGTAGGGTCACTAGGATCCACTTGATGGCAGTGGGGTTTTCTTTAAGATCAAAAATAAAATATGAATGTGCAAGTGTTTGTTAACTGTGCATGAGAAGCAGATCCATCGCTGAACTGCACACAGAGAAATTGCTTTTGTGTGCACTTCTGCTGTGAATATGCTCCACACCAGGGGAAATAAGTAGTGAAGACACAGAAGGAGATCCATGCACCACGTTCACAGGGATCACAGACCTTCTATATTCACATGGACAAGTCTTGGCCGCAACCCAAGTTCATCTATGCTTTTGGTTGGATGGATTCTGAAAGAGGTTCATCTGCTTCTCCCATGTGTGTGTGTGTGTGTGTGTGTGTACTCAGCAGACAGCCACCCACAGGATGCGACTGTATGAGAAAGACAACCACAAAGGGCTCATGATGGAGCTGAGTGAAGACTGCCCCTCCCTCCAGGACCGCTTCCATCTCAGTGAAGTCCGCTCCCTCCACGTACTCGAGGGCTGCTGGATCCTCTACGAGATGCCCAACTACCAGGGGCGGCAGTACCTGCTGCGGCCCAGGGAGTACAGGCAGTACCAGGACTGGGGGGCAATGGATGCTAAGGCAGGCTCTTTGCGGAGAGCGATGGATTTATACTAAAATAGGTTAACGCTACCGTTTTCTCATTTTGGAATCTAATAAAGTATTTAGTCTGTGTTCTTGGCAATTGCTGACTTGTTTTTCTTTCATTGTGTGCAAATTCATTCACTTGGGACTTCTCCCCATTATGCTGAAGTGGGCACGTTGAGGAGGAAGATGCACCTGGCCTGAGCCACGGGAGTTTCAATCTCTCAAATGCATGTGAAAGCCGAGAGCAGAACTGACGCACCGGAATGATGAAATTGGCCGTGAATATCGACTGTGTCATGGACTGCTAGAATGCTCCTTAGAAACTAGAATGGCCAGGCTTTGGTTCCCAGACTTTAGAGGGACCAGTCCCTAAAGAAGGAGATCATGCTTGGTAAAAAGTAGAGGCTTAGTGAGAAAGGATGACTCTCAAAGAGATGGATTGAAATAATGGCTGTACCAACGGGCTCAACCATAATAACAATGGTGAAGTAGTGGTCCATTCTGTTCTACCTAAGGTCCTTAAGAGTGGCACCCTACCACCAACAGTATTTGTGAACCTTCTATCGATAACTTTTTTAAAGAACGAAGTAGTAACTAAAGGAAAAGAAGAGAAATATCAAAATAGGCTTCTGTTCAGCTACTACTAATGTAATTCAAAGTAGAAAAATAATGTGAAACAAGTAGAAAAATAATGTGAAACAACTTTGTAGTTATTATTCATATCATCTAAAATTTAAGTAGTGTCTATTATCCGTTTTAACCGCAGTGGGATATTGGGATGATAATCATATGCCAGGGTTCTGTCTGGGCTGATGCAGAAGGAGGTGCTGGTGGTGAGAGGGAGGGAGGCACAATGAGTTACCGCACAGGGTGACTCTCATCCTCGGGACAACGCTGAGCTAACTGCAAAAGCACTAGTTTCAAGTTAAAGGCACCCTGAAGATAATCATAGGAGCCCTGGTGGTATATCAGGCGTGCGTTGGGCTGCGACTCAAATGGTTGGCAGTTTGAAACCAACAGCAGCTCTGCAGGAGAAAGACGGCTTTGTACTCCTGTCAACAGTTCCAGTCTCAGAAACCCACATAGGTCACTGGGAGTCAGCAGGGACTCCGTGGCAGTGAATTTGGTTTTTGGCTTTGAGTTTTGTTTCCTATTTTCTTTCACACTATCCAAGACCATGTAATGTGACCCCGTTCTGAGTCATTGGGAGCTGTAGCCAGGCCTGTCGACTTCACTTTGTAGACGATAGTTACACCAGCTACACACATGAATGACCCTGCTCCAAGCAAACCCTCAGTTAACGAGTCCTGCCATCACTTCCATGGGAGACCCCTTGACTAGTAAGGGCTGAGAGAGTGTAACTTCCTGGACTATCACCAAGCTCATCGCCAAGACTGTCAATCTTTCTAGCTTAGGACAATTGTTCCTGTTTCTTGTTCTTGGTACACCCTCTGAGATCAGTCACCACCAGTCATTCCAGGAAACTTGCCTGTGGTTCGGAGTCAGTGCCACAAGTGTAAGGATTCTCAGGTCCTAACGGTGGTTCTGGGGAGCCAATCATGAACACAAAATGCAAATGAGGACTTAGGTTTGTTTGTTTTTCAATCATTTTATTGGGGGGCTCATACAACTCTTATTACAGTCCATACATACATCCATTGTGTCAAGCACATTTGTATATTTG